TATTAAGAAGTGTATGTCATTCACAAAAAAAAAAATTAAATTTATCATGTATCCTATACAAAATATTTAAAAGATTAAAATTTTTGCCATGACTTCTCAAAAATGTCTCCTAAGTGATAGGATTGAGGAAAACATTCGAGTGAATAAATTACCATGATATATCTAAAAAGACAAAATCGCTCCACAAAAATTTAAAATCAATTTTTTTTTTCTTTAAAAAAAGGCCTTGGATTGTGGATTATATATATAGAAGATACAACACATGACTTAAATGGAAAAAATCAAGTAAAAATAGTTGTTATAAGTGAATGAACAAAATGAGAATAATCCGAAGAAGGAAATTTGGTTGTTTGAGATTTAAAGAAACAAAATATTACATTTAACCACAATCGAACATTATATAAAATAAGAAAAAAATATGACTAGTCATAAATTACTTTCTCCACATTTAGATTATCTATAGAATAATTATACTTTTGCATTGATATGACGTAATCAGTGACATAGCCAGAATTTTGTGAATGGTGTTCTATCTTTGGAAAACTAAACACTCCTTATGTCCTAATTTGTGTGAAAGGATCAGAGTATGAGGGTCAGAACACTTAATTGTGATTTTTAATACAATATATATTCTTCAACCAAATTAAAATAAAATGTATATATTCAAAAACTACACAAAAAATACTATACGTCGATAAAATAATTAATGATTCAACATATAAAAGTTTGAGAAATTATGATTTGTAAATTATTTGACACTCTAAACAGTAATATCCTCACATATAAAGGAACACAACGAGTAAGAAGAGAGTTAATCAAATAATTTACCATGATTTATCATAAAAGAGAGAACCCCTCTGCAAAATACTTTAGAATCAAAATTATGAAAACATGTATTGACTTGTTGATTTATAGAGAGGATACATGACAAGAGTCATAGGGAAAAAAAACTATTACAGCAAGTCAATGAATAGAAAAAGAATGATCTAAAGAAGTAAATCTGATTGTTTGAGTTTACTTTTCCCGCATCTAAATTATCTATTGAAATATTATAATTTTACATTGACATGATGTAATTAGTAACTTAATCAATGACATAATTGGTGACGGAATTCAGAATATTCTAAAGGGTGTTCAAATTTTAGATAAGCAAATAGTTTTTTAGATCTTGGTTGAGTCACTGATTATATCATATCTTCATCTAGCCAACATTCTTCTTTTTCTTTGCAAATATAAAAAGTTAAAATCAAATTTCAACGGAGTTTAATGTTGTTTTCATGTCCTTATTTTCAAAATCTTATATGCATGACTAGATGAAGATTTGATAAACTTTGTTCGATAAATACCTCCTATGGTTAATATTTATTTCCAAAAAAAGCTTGAGAAATTCAAATGAGAATATGCCCAAGGCAATGTCTAAAAACTCGGATTATCCATTTACTTAATATATAAATTACTTACATTCATGTATACACATTTTCTAGGATCTATGAATCATAGAATGTATGTATTAATTTAGGCATTTAGCATGGTGCCTTTTGGACGATTTGTCAACATTACAAATAGGCTTCGATTTTTTATGTGGCTTATGATCAACACAATTAATTAAACTTCCAACTTTCGCAGTCCTTTACACTAGGAAAATCAATAACTCAAGAAATTGTCCCTCGTGGCCTAGCATGGAATAAAGAAAATGCCATTCATATTTTGCAGAATATCCGGACGCAAAACACATGTGGGATCACTATGATATATCCTTTTCTAAGCAAGTGTAGACAATAAAATTCTCGTCGAGAAAACAATAATCAAGAACGGAAAATTATGCAACAATCGTTTTATTGATTTAAGTGTGAGTGTTACAATCTCTATTATTCCTCTGAATTCGCCTTTTCAAATATAATTCAAGGGCTCTTGAGCTTGATCTTGAACTTGAGATTTATCTCGATCTTGATCTCTATCTTGATCTTGATCTTGGACTTGGACTTGGACTTGAACTTTATCTTGATCTTGAACTTGAACTTGAACTTTATCTTGATCTTGACTTCTAGTTGAATCCAAGGGCTTCGAGCTTGATTTTGAATCCGGCGGTCTTGATCTTGATCGTTCTTGATCTTGATCGTTCTTGAAACTTGAACGTTCTTGAATGCTTGAATTCTTGAACTTGTGGAGAAATCTGTAGCTTTTGATCCACGAGCTTTCCTTGTTTCTTGTTAAAATTCTTGGTCCTCCTTTCTGAATTCTGAAGACCCCCTATTTATAGTTTTAGAATAGGGGAGTTGTGATTGGAATAGAATTCTCTTCAGCCAATCAGATTTAAGTGACATGACATATGGGCTTTATGGAGCGGGCTTTAATTAAATTCATATTATTGAATTTAAATAATTAATTCAATTATATCAATCCATAATATTTATTTGGACTAATATATTAATGAATTTAATATAATCCAAATCATTTTAATAAATTTATATTTAAATAAATTTTAAATGATTACAAATGCCCCCTGCTTCAAGTCTTGTCGAGATACTTTATCTTTCAAAGACTAGACTTGAAGTATTAATTACATGACAATTATATACCATATATTTGAAATGCCATAAATTAATATACCACTTTAATATAATTGGACAAGAATAATTGAAGTGGATACATGAGCTCACGTGGCCACTTGGCTTTATATATATATATATTTATTTATTTTATTTTATTTTATTTTACTTTCCTCATCCAATTGGAATTAGGAGGTAATCTGTATATGATGGTTGCCCACTTTAAAATTGATCTATTTATGGCAAGGCCATAAATAAACAACCGCCTAGGAGAGGAATCATGAATGTTGACGTGGCATGTGAAGAAATTAAATATGCATCTTATATTATGATGCAAATTTTAGCCCAAATTGTAGTTGTAGTAGGATAAAACCACCGCCTCAAAATCTTATTTTATGACTCGATTTAAATTCAAATTGTAGTTGAACTAGGAATTGTAGTCCTACTCAATTTCAAATTCATATATCTTTTCTATTGTCCTAGCCAAAAAGAATTTGTAATTGGACTAGGAGAAGAATTTTATTCTCATCACATGACATCTATAAATAGACACATTGTATCCACAATTTTTCTTCGGATTGTGAGCTACAAGCCTACGACGAAAGGGGCATTATTCAAGGTAATTTTCCTCCCTTTTTCTGATTTTCGTCACTTTTTTTACAGCTTGACACATCTGTCGTAGAAAATTCATATCTCATTGTAGAAAAATTGAAATCATGAACGGTTTGATTTTCCAGAAACTAGACTTCTCGATCTCTAGCATATCCAAAATTCAAAATCTAATACATTCCAAATATTTTTAGATGATTTTTTCAAGTTAGCTCTAGATTCTGCCATGCTGAAAATTTCAGAGTTGTGCGGCTTTACTAAAACTCTCGTGTCTTGATGTAGGAACGATGAAATCACAAGCCGTTTGATTATTTCGATGAAATTCAAAATTTAATACCTTCAGAATCTTTCTAGATGATTTTTTTTTTGAAGTTAACTTTAAATTTTGTCATACGGTTGATATTCTTAAGGTGAGAAAGGATAGATACACATCCCCGCCGTAACAAAGGTAATCTAAAGGTATTCTTAAGGCGAAAAGAGGATGGATACGCATCCCCGCCCTAAGAAAGGTAATCTAGAGGTATTCTTTAAGGCAAAAAGAGGATGGATACGCATCCCGCCCTAAGAAAGGTAATCTGAAGGTATTCTTTAAGGCGAAAAGGGGATGGATATGCATCCCCACCCTAAGAAAGGTAATCTAGAGGTATTCTTTAAGGCGAAAAGAGGATGGATACGCATCCCCACCTTAAGGAAAGGTAACTTTATGGTATTCTTAAGGTGAAAAGAGGATGGATACGCATCCCCACCCTCAAAAAAGGTAACTTTATGGTATCCTTAATGTGAAAAGAGGATGGATACGCGTCCCCACCTTCATAAAAGGTAACTTTATGGTATCCTTGAGGTGAAAAGAGGATGGATACGCATCCCCACCTTAAGGAAGGTAATTTAGAGGTCAAGACTTGAAAACTTCAACTTTCAGACTTTGAACAATTTGAAGACTTCAATTTGCAGACTTAAAGAATTTGAAGACCTCAACTTGCAGACTTGAAGAATTTAAAGACTTCAACTTGCAGACTTGAAGAATTTGAAGACATCAACTTGCAAACTTGAAGAATTTGAAGACATCAACTTGCAGACTTGAAGAATTTGAAGACATCAACTTGCAAACTTGAAGAATTTGAAGACATCAACTTGCAGACTTGAAGAATTTGAAGACATCAACTTGCAAACTTGAAGAATTTGAAGACATCAACTTGCAGACTTGAAGAATTTGAAGACATCAACTTGCAGACTTGAAGAATTTGAAGACATCAACTTGCAGACTTGAAGAATTTGAAGACATCAACTTGCAGACTTTGAAGAATTTGAAGACCTCAACTTGCAGACTTTGAAGAATTTGAAGACTTCAACTTGCAGACTTGAAGAATTTGAAGACTTCAACTTGCAGACTTAAAGAATTTAAAGACTTCAGCTTGTATACTTGGAGGATTTGAAAACTTCAATCTTAAAGAAACTTCAACCATGTTGTTAACAAAACTCATATTTTTTAAGGGTCTGCCCCCATCTATTGACCAATTAATACTTCGTACAAGTCTAAAGTTTGATGAGACAAAAGATAAAACAAAATACTTACCGCTTTGATTGTCATGTGACAGATCAAGTGGGAACATGTGGTTTTTTTACAATCATGCAACTGAACTTAGGATATATTCTAAGCTTTTTTCCACAACTGAACTTAGGATATATTCTAAGCGCCTACGTACCTCAGTAAAAAGGATCAAGTCACAACGTAGTTCTGGGGGATTGAGTGATTTTTTTTTTGTGTCGTACACAGTATATACTCTTGCGGGCCAGGAGTGACATGCACTTTAGGCTCGTACCTTAAGGAGCATCATCTTTACTTCAACGGTAGTACCTCTTTAGGAATTTTTCATTAATAGGACCGATCCTTACGCCATCTGCATCAACAAGCTTGTAAGCACCTTGTGAATATGCTTCTTGTACGACATATGGTCCATCCCACTTTGAGGTAAATTTGCCCCCAGACTTGTGCGAAGTAATGATAGGTTTTCTTACTGCGAGAACTTGGTCTCCAACTTGGAAACACCTCAAGAGAACCTTCTTATTGACAGCACGAGATAGACGAGCTTGATAACATTCAAGGTTTAGTTGGGCTTCTAGCCTCTTTTCATCAAGTGCTTCTAGCTCAGCAAGACGAAGTCGAGCATTTTCTTCTTCAGTGAGCCCTTCTTGAATAGCAAGTCTCAAGGAAGGTAATTGACGCTCAAGTGGCAAGACTGCTTCAACTCCAAAAGCAAGTGATTATGGTGTTGCTTGAGTTGGAGTGCGGTATGTCGTTCTATATGCCCACAAAACTTCTTCCATTCTTACATGCCAATATCGTTTGGACTTGGAGACAACTTTCTTGAGGAGGTTGCAACATGATACATAGAAGATTTACACTGCTTCAAGTTAAAGAGATCACAAATTTTGTTCATTAAATTATTATCAAATGGCTTGCCATTGTCTGTTATAATGTAGCGAGGGATGCCAAAGCAATATATGATTTTGTAATAAAGGAAGCGTGGTGCACGACGATGAATGTCAGTCCTTCTCCTTGGATCTTCTGGAAGTATCCTATAACACATGTAGTCAATAATAGGTTGTCTCCACTCTTTCTTCGCGGCTTCAGAAACGGCGATGAAATGATTAAGCTCATTTTTTATACATTCTTCCTCATTTGGCGGTGGTACTATCCAT